GCGCTTCAGACATTCCGCTTTTGTAGTTCTTTCTGGGAAGAGGAACTAAAAATAGACCAGAAGTCAACTCTGTGACAATTGTTGCTGTACCAAAGTTATGTGGAAACATAGGGAACATTAAAAAAAAAAATCAGTAAAATAAGCTGTATAGTCAACCTGAAAATTCATGTGCTGTCAGCCTCATGCGACAAGCTGATTTCTTTTTTTATAAAGCAACAGAATAGCAGCAATGCTAAAAGGTAGTTATAACTAAGGCTGCTCTCCTAAGTCCATTCACCTGGGAGGGAACCCCATTTAAGTCAATGGGGCTTACTCAAATGTAGGAATGGATCTGCCCACTTCAGTTCTCTTAGTTTCTTATTTTTCCAATCTTAAAGTCACATTTTTCAGCAATTAGGAATCTTTTTTACATCCTCCGATGTCGGTGTCACCTGTAGTGAAAGGTATGTTCATTTTTTGTGCTTCTTCTGTAGCCACTGTCACAGGAACCCCTCCCCCCAATCATTTGTAGAAACCCGACACACACAAACACACTCACACACGACACTTCTGTTATAAATTCATAGAAAATCAACCATACATCGGATCTGCACCGTTCCACTTTTATTTTACTCCATGAAGGAAGGACTACAAAATGGGGAAGGTTTGATACAGGGCAGCCATAATCTCTTGAGCGTACCAACACATCCGCAGGAAACCTGCCCAGTTGGCATGCCAACCTTGATGGTCCTAGACAGAAGACCATCACACTCACAAAGGACCTGCATATGGGAATGGATTCAGCATGGACTGAAACAAGGGACAGTGATCAGCTCTTCCCTCTGGGGACAGGAAACTGCAAACTCCCTTTTGTCCTCTGGAAAGTACTCATGGGGAGCAGGAGAGGTGGAACCGGCCAGGTGACAAGACACTCAGGTTACCACCACAACTCCTCCCTCACCTCAACCCCTCCTTTTTGTGATGTGTCAATGATGTAGTCGTGATGTAGTTATGATGTAGTCTTGGGGGTGTAGCATGGGGGATTAGTAGCTAATAAAAGCTGGGGTCTTCTTTTGTTCTGGGCTTCCACCTTGTTCCACCTTGTGGCAGGTGGGAGTCCTGTTGCGACAGTCTTCAATAAAGACCAAGCCTACTGGCTGCTGTTTTGCTCTGGTATTCCTGGCTGGTGTCCTTGGTTTTTTTGTCCAAGGGAACCCTCAGATTTCTCCGTTAACACTACTGGCACAACACATTCATGTCTGAGGCTATTTGAGTTTTTAAAAGCATCAAGGATGTGGGCACCACAAGCTACATTTCTTTCTCGCTATGAATTGTCAGGCTCACATGAAATGCCACTTCGTTTAATAAGATGACTTTGCTGGCCTTGTGCAGAGACTGTGCAATAATAAATGTTCCGAATTTCCCTTTGAAAAACTGCTTGTTGTTTCTAGGAAACATGCATGTGGAAAACATAGGAAGTGGGCGACAGTGATGCTCTGCAAAGGCTCAGCATTCATTTGATAGGGTTTGCTTTTGGTTGTTAATATGCAGCACCCAGCAGTTATCAGACCAGGCACTTTAGATAAGAGTACTTATTTTCCCAATAAATGCTCTTAGGATAATAGAGCAGCGTTCTAATGATAAGACAGTAGACACAAACCGTATTGAGAATATTTATTTGCTTTCAGTGCTATTTTTCAATAAATACGGGTGCCATATTGATTATCTGAGGTAAAACAAATGAAAAAACACTCAATGTAGACCCATAATTTGTGCAGTGTTTTCTACCGTTATACAGAAATGTCAAAATCCTCGATATTGCCTTAACATTGCTTTAATAAAAACTCTCCTTAGAAATTGGTCAGTTATTGCATGCTATGTTTTTCCTGTGTGCCTTTTGAAAACTACGCTAGGTATATTTCTAAGAAACTTGCACATCAAAGTTATAGGAAGAACCAGGCCATGAGGACGCACTTTGGGTCAAAAGCAAGGTAAAGATTGCTCGAAAATGACAGTATGTTTATTACTGCTTGTTTATTACCCTCATTAACAGATGGCCTGGAATAGCAATGTGCTTACAGGCACGCCGTGTTATCTTCAAAGGTGCAACCCATCGATTTCAACAAAGCTGCACCGACATTTAAAGCTACTTGAGTGCTCTGCTACATCGGCCTTTTCTACGCTACTGCTTTACCACAGGTGAATATTGAACATGGGAGTGGCATAGCCAGAAGCTGACCTGCAGCATCTGTCCTGAATAAAAGCATCTGGGCGATCGGTTTGCTAACTCAGAAGGAAGGAAGGCGATACTTGCCAATGTTTTCCCCTTGCAGCCCTTGGCACTCCCTGAAAATATGCCCCAGAGGATTGCAGGGCCCTCCAGAACAGCATGGAAACTGGATCGGGGGAATTACAGAACATTATTTCTTCTCACCCACCCACTGTATTAGAAGGGGTACCTACTGGAAGAAGAGCCATTCCATAAATGGAACAGCAGCGCTGGATTTCACCTAGTCCAGATGTTGAACTATAACTCACAGCATCTTGATAGGGAGCCACAGGGTGGCAAATCCAAGCTTATGTCATTTGCTAAATATGACTATGTTGTTAAACCATATTCCCCGCCCCAGATCTGGTGTAACGGGACAGAACCTCATATTTTGCCATCAGAGCTAGTTTGCCCTCTTGTGCCACCTTGCCTTTGGCTGGCTCACACTTAACCCTGTTCTGACACCACTTTCAGCCTGTATTATCTTCCACACAAAGGCCGAAACGTGTTGTCTAAAAGCTCTTCTATAGGGCGATTTATTTCCTTGTCATGGCTGTGCATGAGGATTTCCTGCTGCCACATTCTAGAGATTCTGGCCTCTTCTCTTTCTCTCCACCTCCAAAATATCCCATATCCTTTGGTGTCATCTGTTTCCATTCTAAGGGGAAAGCAGATCCTGTAAAAATGATGGAAGGAAGCAGCTCAAGGCTACTTTTGAAGACACTAAACAACAAGCAGTGGGTAGCAGTAGCAGATATCCATGAACGCTATGGGTATTCTCAACCAACATTTGCTAATTTGAGTCTGCTATTAATTTCCTTCTCCTCAAGAGGGATTGTGAATGCAGAGCATTCAACAGAAAGGAGCAGCTTTCTTCCCTGTGTTAAATCAGTCTCTCTGGGCACACCAAACTAGCAAATGGTGGTGTGAGAAGCTAAGATCAGAACATGGTCCTATGTGGCACACTTCAGCTGTGTGAAACTTTTAACTGTCCTTGACTGGAATTACTGTTGACGTTTCTAAAAACCAACTCAAATGTACAAAAAATACTGTGCACTGAGCAATCCCTCCTTTCTGATCCGTGTCGCTGCAGACAAGAATTTTAATGTTTGAGTCACACCCGCTGCCACGTGGAAAAGAAGCCCTTCTGAAAGAAAGCAGTGCGGACGTTCCTCTCCCATGCATGCAAGCTTTCCATACACGGGCAATTTTTAAAAGCACGGAGAATCGTTCCAACTTGCAATCCTGAACCTACAATTTGAAGTGATACAGTCGTGGAAGGTCTGTACCACATGGTATTTCCTGCACTTTTGAATCTGCCCTTATTCAGCCATGGTTCAAGAAGCAAAACATTCAGACGCAAAACCATTACAAGCTGGACGAGTCAATATTTTATTGACCTGTGGTAAGCTGTAGCGTAGACAAGTCCTTTAAAAAGACTCAAGTAACCATCTGCTGAAACACCACACCATTGGAGAAATTAGCTCTTACTGGATATATTTTTTAGCAGCACTGGAATATCCTTCACATCAGTGAAGCACCTTAGAAAGTTTCAGACCTGGTTTTGCAGACGTATAGGACAACCCTCCTCTCTCCGCTCTGCTAGAATAGAACATCTGACTCAACATTCACCCTCATTCACAATAAAATAGACGTTAAAAAAATAAACTCTTCGTTTTCGTCACCTCTCGCAACACATATGAACGTACTAAAGGGCAGGACATAGCTCTTCGTCTCCTCATTCGTAACTGCAGCAGGCTGGCCAGTTTCAGTTCTCTTTACACTGATGCAGGCGGAAGACCAGTTGCCACTTAAGTCGCTGGCAGGGCCGGCCCAACTATTTGGTAGAGTGGGATGGATGCAGCTCTGTTTGCCATGTAGCCCGGCTTGCACCTGCTAAACTAGCCTGCTGCCCTCACAATATGGTGGAGGATACTGGCCTGTTGTTGCAGTATGCAGAATGCATGTGTGTGGCGAGCACTCTCCTCCTTTGCCTCAGTCGGCAAATTTTTTAGGGCCAGCCCTGGTTGCCCAATACCCGTGGACCAAAATACAGCTTGCTTACAACCATGTCATTAAGAACACACACACCTGGCTGTGTGGTTTTTTTTGTTTCTTTGTACCTTAAGAGACAAAACACGTTGTTACTCCTGCCTTTCAAAATGGAAGAATAAATATCATACATGTTATGTGCTTCATTACTTTACCGCAGGAGATGGGGGCCCTGTGACTCTCAAAATGCTGTTAAGACTCCGTCAGTCCTGGCCCAGGTGGCCAACAGTGAGGGATTATGGGAGTTGTGGTCCAGCATCATCTGAGGGGCTCCAGGTCTCCCCCCACCCCCGCTTTACAGAGAGTGAGCTCAAGTACCAAGGCTATAAGTGCTTTGTTTAAGAAACACTGTGTGGCATGCGCTCAAGCACTTTAAATATTTGGATAGTTGTAGTAATCCACACAGAACTCATGAAGCTACAGCTAACGTCTTTGTGCTTTGTTTCTCGGTGTTCCAAGCATAGTATATAATTTGGTTGTCGTTATTACGGTGGTTATTGTTATTACATTTTGCAAGCTATCGATAAGACACGACGACACTACCCTGAACGACCGATTTGGAGTATTGGTGAAACCAATGGTCTGCATTTCAGCACTCCATGCTCATGCAGTGGATGGCATTGGCAGGGCAGCATGGTTCACGTGAAAGTGGCACTGGGAGGTGGGCCATCCAGCTGTGATCAGCGTCAGCTCTGGACCGTCAATACTCTACAGAGTTCACCATTGCCAGGGGCTCATCAAACGTCGCCAACATGACTTGCTTCGTGGAAGGTCTGGAGATGATGTCTCCTGCCTCCGTGGGCGAGTGAATACTATTGTCTAAAGACTCGTCTATAAGGTTTGACACTACTTCTTCTTCATGGTTTTCATACAACGTATTGATATGCAGAAGAGGGTGAGCGGCGTTACAGTTTAAGGCAGGCACTGGCTCTGCTGGGCTTATGTGGGGCAGAGTGACCTTTTTCGCAGCACCGGAAGTTGCTATGTGGTTGTGATTGCAGGTGAGAAAAGTCCCGGCGGCAGGCACAGTCCTGCATGTGTTGTGAGAGTAAAGGGTATCTTTCCCCGGAACGGAAGATCCTAAAAGAGAAACAAAACACTTTTTTAATCATTGCTCGCTTTTCATACACCCAACAGGATCAGTTCTGGCATTCATGTTTTGTGGGTTCGTCTCCATGAAAACAAGCAACTGGCCGAGACTACGTTCTCCATGGACTCTGATAGTTGGACAGAGTATCTATAATAGGATCCTGTATCATCTTATGCCTCTCTGGGCTAGTTGACACATTAGCCTATCAAAGCCTCTTTGTCCCTGTAGTGGTCACTGGTTTCAACAGCCACTACAGGTACCTGATCTGGAGAACCTTCTTCCAACCCTCAGAAGGACAGCAAGCAATACTCACCCATCCTCACCTAACTCACTTATTTTTTTTTGCTTGCCGAAAGTAAAAAGCAAGTTACATGTTACATGTTTTCCTTCCTTGTTCTTTCTACTATTTGCTGCTCTTGATTTCAGCTGGGAGGAGACAGAGCAAGGAAAACCAGCTGGCATCTGAGAGAACAAGGAAGAAGAACAACAACAGGGGCAGTGACTCTCTTTCTCCGCAGTCAGAAAAGGCAAGGATGCTATGGTAGTGAGCGCATGGTGACGCCTTGGGCACCTGGAGAGGCCGCCAGAAGCATGGAGATGCACAGGATGCTTCCTTAAGAGGCTAATGCGTGAACAGATCCTGAGAGACCATCAGCAGCTGCAGAAAGCCTAGCTGCCTAGAAAGCTATTTTAGACGCTGGTGGTGAGAACATTGCTCCAGATTCTAAATAATTGTTAACGCAGAAGGTCTTTCAGAGAAACATACACAGAATTCTTTTAGGAGGGATCCAGAGGGGATATGCGAAGATATTCACTGGCTGTCTTCTCCCACATGAAAACCAGAATATTCAATTAGGATGTTCTTCAGAGGCTGTTTTTTATACAGCCCTATCTTCCAAAGTGGAAGAGAGTCCAAAGTGGAAGAGAGTCTTTTCTGCAGTGACCCTTGAATTGTGAATATCTCCCTAGATATTTTTTAGATGCCAAAGTCTACATTATTCTCTCAGCGTTTTCATGTCATTTTAGAATATCCGACCTTCTTTTTAATTGGGTGATTGCTTTAAATTTTATTTATCGGTTCATTATCCCTATTGTTTTTATTAACTGCTGCGTGGTTTTATTGTTTCTACCTTCTTCTTTTAAATAGCTTTCTTGAAGTGTGGAAGCTGGAATATGGAAGCTGGAGGATAAATTCTTAAAAATAAACACCTTAAATATTTCAACACACAGGAAAGCAGGATATTTTAAGCAGCTGACGTAAACACCCAAAGGCCAAAGCAATAAAAATATGATGTAGCATTATTCATTGAAGAGCTGTAGCCAGAATATATACTAAGTAAAAAAGCAAACAAACCTCAACTGCTTATATCAAAGTAGCTGTATTAAAACTAATGGGATTGCTCAGGACTAAGTAATTTGATGATGGGCATAAACTGTCTAGGAAAGCATATTAATGCTACAGTTAAACTGTCTAGGAAAGCATATTAATGCTACAGTTAAATAGGTTAAGAGTTATTCTCCTCAGCTAACTGTAGTTCTGCGAGGGGGTGGCTGGGAAGCTGAGAATTCTCAGTATCCTCAGCTATAACTCCCAGAATTCCTTTGAAGAAAGCCATGACAGATTAGTACAAAACTCATACAAATTTTCCTAGTCTAGAAATACTCCTGAGTGACGTTGAAAGAGGAGTAATTTGCACACTTAATTACCCCCTGGAAATGCAAATTCTACAAAGCAGTTTAATTCTAAATATCCCAGCATTTGCACCAAGAGAATGGAAAACCTGAGTTAATCCAGAACGTTTTCCAGAACGACCCCCTCTTTAAGTCCCTAGTGTAATTTTTGATCATTGGTCTGGATTAGTGTTTTCCAAAGTTGGGCCTCCAGCTGCTTTTGGACTACAACTCCCATCATCCCTGAGCACTGGTCCTGCTAGCTAGGGATGATGGGAGTTGTAGTCCAAAACCTGCTGGAGACCCAACTTTGGGAAACACTGGTCTGGATTCCCTTCAGCTGTGTGAGTTTTCTGCAAGCAAAGCTATTTGTGTGCATCCCTCTGAGGAGAGACATTTTAAGGTCTAACAAAAAAACAAACAATGGACAGCCTGTGATATTCAGCTGACCTATCTCTAGAAAGGCCCAAGATGGCAGAGGTGATAGGTGGAGGTGACTATTATTATCCTCGTCCCTCTCCAACAGTCAGGGATGGGGGGAAAGCAGGTACCTATGTTAAGGAGAACAATCGGCCTGCAACTTTGCAGTTGTGTTCAAGGCAGACCAAGCGAGAAGAGACTTAGTGGCTCCCTCAAGAAGAGCTCTGGGACACCTATTAGGGTGTCCAAGCTATACAGCTGTGTAAAGAAGCTAGATGGAACAAAACATGAAAACGTCCTTAATGACCTCATGAAAAGGCAACCAAAACCCAGGGTAAACACTGGAACTCTTGAAACCCCACCACTTGGGAAACTGGGGTGCAATTTACATGACTAATAGGACCCGCATTCTGCATTTGGTCTGCCTCTGATCCAATTCTGAGGCTCAAGTCATTCAAAGTGAACCACCTTCCTAAAAAACATCAGTTGACAAGAGCAAGAGGAATAAAAAGCATGTTTTTGCAAGAGTTTAGACTGAATTACCAGAGCATCTGAACGGACAACAAGACTATTTTCTTTTAACTATTAGTGAGTTAAAATTTTAAAATAAGCTGCAGATATGAGCGGCCAGCCTCTAGGTTAACAAGAGAATATGCAAGAAGGGGGAAATTCCTATCGGCAAGTCTCAGGTTCAGCTTACATCCCTGGGGTCTGGTTTCTGTATCTGCATGCTCAGAATCCCATGACTCTGCGGTCGCACCTTCCCATCCTATCTCCTCCCATCTGACACATACAGATTCCAATACAGAAGCTACAGTATTGGTGTGATGTGATATTCCAACCATGTGGAAAGCAGCAACCCTGTCCCGGGAACTTCTAAGAAATTGTGGAGACAAACGCCCAAGATCGGAAGCAAGATTGCAAGCAGCTTTTGCATATGACTTGGACCCCATGGGACAATTAGCCACAACATTCACTGTACCAGGATCAGGTTTAAGGTGCTGGTTTTAACCTTTAAAGCCCTAAACAGCCTAGGACCCTCGTACCCTCATACCTATGGGACCACCTCTCCTGGTATGTCCCACAGAGGACCTTACAGTCTTCAAATAAAAACATCTTGGAGGTCCCGGGCCACAGGGAGGTTAGGCTGGCCTCAACCAGAGCCAGGGCTTTTTTGGCCGTGGCCCTGATCTGGTGGAACGCTCTGTCACAAGAGACTAGGGCCCTGCAGGACTTGACATCTTTTTGCAGGGCCTGCAAGACGGAGCTGTTCCACCAGACCTTTGGCTGAGGCACAGTCTGACCCCCTCCTTTTGTAATCCTTATAGAACTCTAGCCCAATGGTTGCCATTAATTTGACTCTGAGTTGATTTTAGAATGAATTGATTTTAGAATGTATTTCAATTAAATGATTATGATTTTATGTAAACTGTGTTATTTTTACTGTTGTTAGCCGCTCTGAGCCTCGGCTGGGGAGGGCGGGATATAAATAAAATTTTATTATTGTTGTTTATTATTATTACCTTTGAGGGAAGAAGCGACATGCACGATGACTTTCTCTTCTTGGCTTAAAAATCCACTCCCTTGGCTTTTGGATGTTGCCATAGAGGTAATAGGTTGAATCTCTGGCTTGGGTTTCTTACTGCTCAGTAGATACGGATGAACGTCTAAGGAGAAGTGTCGTGTATGTTTCTTCTCATTGCCTGCGCCGGAGAGGGCAGCAGATTCATTTTTGTGGGTTGAAGACGGCTGAGAGTTTTTCGAGTTGGCCTCCAGCAAAGGGGCAACCAGACTGTCCGTCGCCGTTTTCCGACGCACGGGCTTGGGCTTCTCAGGCTTGTTGTTTTCAACCTTCATAATGGCCAACTGCTCTTTGAACGGCTGAGGAAGAGGATTGGAACTCGGGATCCACTTCATTTTCTTCCGGGGTCGCTTAATGACCAGCGGTTCGCTGGGGTCGATGTCCGCAGGATCAATGCTGGGGTCGATGGTTTGTATCCCGGAATCGCGCACAGTTGGGGTGACATCGTGATTAGACTGAGCGAGCGCCGCAAGCAGCTGGCGCACCACGTTGTCGTACATCAGATCGCTCTCGTTGGTGATGAAATCCAAGCGGTTCAGCGACTTGATGTGGTCCCGGTTCTCGTTGCAAAACATAGCCAAGATATTGATGTCGCAGAACTGGGACTTCTGCCACTGCTTTTTCGTCTTGATGCCGACCTTGTTCAGCTTGTCGAAGATGAAGTTGGATTTGCGGACTATAAAGAGGTGGATCAAATTGATGAGGATAATCAGGTTCATGAAACAGAGGAGGACAATGTCTACCGTGGCAATGATGCGCTGGAGCTGAACGGACGGCAGTTTGCAGTTCACCCGGATGAGCAACTTTGAACTGCTCGTTTTGTCAGGAGGCTCCCCCAGAGCGCACGTAAACTCGTTTTGCTTCTGCGTGGCGTAATAGGTGGACAAGTACGTGATCGGGATGATACTTAAAAATATGATGAACAGGTGCCGCGCAAGGTAAAGTTTGGCTAAGAAATTGCTGCGTCCCCTGCGCTCCAGGTATTTCTCAAATAAGTTTTGCTCCGGGCTCTTTTCCTTCTCCGCGTTCTCAATTATTTCTCTTTTCTCTCGCTCTGTAATCCCAGGGCCTTTGGACTGGATTTGCTTTTCGATTTTTGGCGCACGGCCTTCGGCTGCTCGGTGGTAGCAGTTATCTATCTCCTGGAGCAAAAAGTTAAGTTCAGAAGTCAGCCTGGTGGAGGCCAGGAATTCCCAGCCAAGCGCTGGAATGTACATAATGCCAGCAAAAGCCAGCAGGGCATATGGAAGGAACTTATGCTCAAACAGGGAGGGCCAGCGGCTGGCATTTACTCCTGGCAAGGCATCCCTTAGTTCTGTCCAACAGTATCCTCTGGCATACAAGGCTTGGTCACGGGTGAAGTTGTGTGGTGTGTAACAGTATATTGGTTCCTCTGTATAACAGAGAGAAAAGTCACTGCTGTGCATTTAACCTACAAAAAGAAGCTCTGCAAAATAAATATTTCATAAACTATATCAATTTTCGTCTACTGTATATTTAAAATAGCATCAGCGTGCATAGAACTGCACCAATCTAATTGCCATGGCCAACTCAGTCTTCCTAATCGTGATATACCGTATTTTTCGCTCTATAAGACTCACCAGACCACAAGATGTACCTAGTTTTTGGAGGAGGAAAACAAGAAAAAAAATATTCTGAGTCTTAGAAGCCAGAACAGCAAGAGGGATCACTGCGCAGTGAAAGCAGCAACCGTCTTGCTGTTCTGGCTTCTGGGGTAGCTGCGCAGCCTGCTTTCGCTCCATAAGACGCACACACATTTCCCCTTACTTTTTAGGAGGGAAAAAGTGAGTCTTATAGAGCAAAAAATACGGTAAATCTTTACCTTCCATAGATCTGCATAGAGGTCATAGCCCTTAAACTTAGGCAGTTTACAGAGGAATCTGTAAACCTGAAAACTCTAGGATGAACTCGAGCTAGGAATATCATTTAACACTTGCAGCAATTGTCTTGGGGGAGATTTCCAATGTAAACCATAATGTGCTCTGGAAAGCAGATGAGCAGGATGCCACAGCAATACAATTAGCGAGGGTTTGTCAATATAAAACAAGAATTTGTGCTGCATTTCTCCTTGAACAGGCGCAGCCTTGCTATTTCAAAGACTAGAAACATTTGTTTAAGAACACGTGACTAAGCAGGTTTACTATATTATTATTATTTCCTTAAAAACCCCTTGAAGCAGCTCAAAATCCAGGAGGTGCAGCGAGTAAAAAGCCAGAGAACTTTCTGACCTCCTTGAAATCCTGAAAGCAGGTGTGGTGGAACCTTCTGGTCCTGAAGGTCAGTTCCTTATCAAATCCTCACAAGCCTAATTTCCAACCTAAGATGAACTTATAATGTCTGGTTTCAATGGAGTTTTCAAATGCTTAACCCAGTCTTTTGTTTTCTTTATCTTTTTAGGTAAGTTCATGAAGATATTAATGAAAGTTAAGTTTGGTTTTGTTCACAATACCGAGAGATGCTAGTGAAGTTGTAGATGGATGTTAATGAATGTTAAGGTATGTTGGTATCTTCATGAACTTACCTAAAAAGATAAAGAAAACAAAAGACTTGAGTTAAGCATTTGAAAAATCCATTGAAACCAGACATTATAAGTTCATCTTAGACTGGGTAGTTCGCAAGTCTCTGTGCTTTGCATAAGGTTTTGTATATTTCTCTCAGAAGATTGATAAAGAATGTATAATTATTTTGGTAATTATTGTGTGTATATTAGTCGCCAACATGTTGCATGAGTCGTACTACAGTGGTACCTCAGGTTACATATGCTTCAGGCTACATACGCTTCAGGTTACAGACTCTGCTAACCCAGAAATAGTGCTTCAGGTTAAGAACTTTGCTTCAGGATGAGAACAGAAATCATGCTCTGGCGGCACGGCAGCAGCAGAAGGCCCCATTAGCCAAAGTGGTGCTTCAGGTTAAGAACAGTTTCAGGTTAAGAACGGACCTCTGGAACTAATTAAATACTTAACCCGAGGTACTACTGTACTTCTATCAGTAGCACAGGTTGCATTTTTCTAGCGTCACAAGCCAAATTTGGCAGGCGGGAGGGACTCCGTACCTGTCAATCACCTGACCTCGCATGTTATCAGGTGACCGGGTGCTTTGACGTTCCAAAGTCAGGACTTCAAAGACCCATGCAAGGCTTGCTGCAGGCATGGCTCACACAGCCAATCTAACAGGCTTTGGCTCTGCCACCCACCAACTGATGGGCAAGTGGAGCTGAAGTCAGCTTTTCCTTGCCATTGCACCATCAGGAGTGCACTTTAAGGTTGCCAATTGTGCACTGGAAGCCGCATCTCTACCTGTGCCACACCTGATGTCATATATGACAAAAGCTGTAGGGCAGGTAGGTGTGGTTTGGGGAGGGGAACGGCCTCATGGGCCAAAATTGAACCCTCATTTGACCTGCAGGCTGGAGGTTCCACACTCCTGACTTAATGGAACAGAAGCTTTGACTATACAGCAACAATATATTCAAAGAACTTGGCTGCTCAAATGCTGAGCAACATTTGTAAGTCCTACATTCTCTTTGCTGTGTCCAGATTCTTTGTGAGATCTGTATAATTCATTCTCTGCATGTACTCAGACAGAGAAAAGTAGTTTAAAATTATCAAGGCGTCTAGGACCATGGCGGTTGTTTACCTCTCATGGGCTGAAGGAACAGCTGCTGTGTTCTAAATTTTGGAGCTTTTAAAAATAAGTCCAGAAGGAGAGGCCCAATCTCTCTACAGCAATGTTCTCAGACAATGATACTACCAGAAATGTCAGACTATCCCATGGTATATTTCTATGACAGTTAATCTGGCCTGTCTTGAAATCATAGCCCATTGGGAAAGGGTACAGAATCCGTATACCAAAGCATCATACTCCAAAACAGTGGGCAAAAAAAAGCCCATTGCAAATTTAGCAGTATGGAAGCCCCCCTCAAAGCATGCTGGATTCGAACACCATATTCAGGGTAACAGAATAACTTCTGTTCATAACTTGTGCAGAGCTTGTTTGTTTATTATTAAACACGAGACAGGGTAGATGATAGCCAACAGCTTTAAATCCTTCTGTATCTATGTTTCCAAGGGAAACTGCTGCAAGCTAATGATCAGTGTAAAGTGCTCCCTTATAATTTGAACACCAAGACATTTTGTGGTGAACGCCACACATTTTCTATAGGGAGAAAAGCACAACAGCTATGATTTTTAGAAACCCATCAGCCCCATCTTGGCTATATACATTCTATGTAGATGCAGCTGTCCAATGTCCTGTAAATCATCTGGGAACCCAATTAAAATATACATTTAGGTACACAATGGGTTGGTTTCACTGTAGCACTAAACCATCGTTAAGTATTATGACAGTGAGCATAGGCTCCTCTCAGGTTTGTGTGCTCCCGTCTTTTCTGGTACAGGTTGGGAAACATTCACTCCTGTTTTAAGTACACTACAGCTTGCTGTGTCTTCTGAACTCAGGCAAACCATGGTTACTCTTAACCTATGATTAGTGGAAGCAAGCCATCTTCAAACCAGACTTTATGAAGCCGACTTGTTTCCACTAAACATAGTTAAAAGATTAGACGTAGTTCAGAGAGCACGCTAACCTGTGGTAAAAACAGAAGCTGAAGCTCTCAATCATTACTTCTCATTACCACACCAAAGGAAGGCTAGGCTCATTCTTGTAACACTAAACCATGGTTACATCTCAACACAACCAAGGTTTCTCTGTATGGATATCGAGTGATCTAGAATCCACACACACTCCTATCCTTCAGGGATGCATATTTTTAACTTTAAATCTTGACAACTTAGACCAGGGGTCAGCAAGGTTTATCTTGCCTGGGCCAGATCGGTCCTGCAGAGATCCCTCTGTGGGCTGGATCGCGCATGCGCCCTCAATTTCCAGTGTCTGCGCAGACATGATTTCTGGCATCTGCGCATGTGCAGATGCAATTTCTGGCACTGCAGAAGCGAGTCCCCGTGCCGCACTGGTTTAGCGCAGCATGCGAGTGGGCAACTCGGTTCGGAGGCGTCTCATGGGCCGGTCAAACGACCCCTGTGGGCTGCTTTCGGCCCATGGGCCTTAGGTTGCTGACCCCTGACTTAGACAATTCAGGCTCTGTTACAATATTTTAAAACGATCAGAAATTAAAATCTAACTTAAAGCATAGCCTCTGCAACCCACTAATCCAGGGATCTCAAAGCCCTTTCTGATACAAAAGTTCTCACTAGGGGAGAGCAACCAGCCAGTTGGCTAACAGAAATCCTGTAACTATGACACCATTTAAGAGTAGGACTCTAAATCTTATGGCTGAATGGAGATTTCCTCCCACCCCAGGAATGTACTTAAACAAAGCATTTTAATTTGTCCTACATATGTGAATGTCTGCCATCCACTGTATAGGCAAAGACAAAGTTCTGCACTTCATGATGCTGTTGTGGGAGTAAAGTCAGTTCTCAGCCACTCAGGCATGGGACCAATTCCTATCGATGGGATCCTGCCATGTGTGAGTTTGTCCACAACGCTCTCAGATAGTGCACAGAAACACAAGGACTGTCGACAATATACAAGCCTCCATATAAGCTCCACTTGCAGTAATGATAGGTCTTTTGCATGTCCTATAAAATTATTAATTCGGTTAGGAATGCCTTGTTTCACTTGTGTGGGAGGGTCTGTCTAACTGATTTCAACAGGGCTGCAATTAATTTTGCCTCATTTCTGTAGTTTGCACTGCCAAAGATTATTTTTTGCATCTGAATACTTGTGTTTGCCGCTAAGGATTCTGCAAATGTTTGCTTTCAAGCGTTCTCTAGGGAGAAATTTACTGTGGCATACAGTGACACAATAATAGTTTTGGGCAAGGGATCTGCATGGGTGAGTCTATTCTGTATTCGTAACAGCTCACAGATGCTCCTTTACTAAATGCAGGAAATGGGCTAAATTATTCACAGTGCCCTGGCAAGAAGCTCCTTAAATAATGCTATTAACATCTAGCTTTGGGAGATGTACAGTGAAAGTACAAAGACTGTCACATTTTGGTGGATTGTGATCACACAACCATGACTCAGGCTACCATATAGGACAAAGTCATATCAAGGCCAGCCTTCTGTAAGAAGTTACCTCAAGCTGATTCATATTGTATGATTTCTGGAAACAGAGTGACTCCCGTCATGGGACACATGAAGAGATGTGTTGTGTGAATGACCTCTACATCCCATACACTTCCTGACAATATTACGGCAAGCAGTTCCCGAAATACCTTGGTAGTAGGTCTCATCATGACTTAGCACAAGCTATTCAACATCAAGTGAAGGCAATCACTTGCAAAAAAGGAAAGGAAGAAAGGGACTATAACTCCCATCATCCCTAGCTAGCAGGATTTGTGGTCAGGGATGATGGGAATTGTAGTCCAAAAACAGCTGGAGACCAACGTATGGAGAACCCTGCTAGTATAACAAAATAAACAACTCATTTGTAGCGTTACACCTCGCCTGCTTAAACCACACAATCCCAGTACAACTTCTCACTGCGCATAGTCATGTGTTTAAAATGGAGTTATTATCTCGCTGCCAATTTTGGATTACAGTCATACCTCGGGTTAAATATGCTTCAGGTTGAGCATTTTCAGGTTACGCTCCGCGGTGACCCGGAAGTAACAGAACGCGTTACTTCCAGGTTTTGCCGCTCACGCATGCGCAGACGCTCAAAATTACGTCACGCGCATGCGCGGAAGCGGCAAATCGCGACCCGGGCAGACGCAGGTTGCGTTCGCTTCAGGATGCGAACAGGGCTCCGGAACGGATCCCGTTCGCATCCAGAGGTACCACTGTATTGGACCTGCATGGCTATCTATACTTTTCACACGAAGCTGGTTACCTGTCTTTTCCCCCTGAATGAAAATATGCTCCCAACTAATACTGACAAGGCATTTTATAGAAAATAAATATTTTAAGAAGGTGAGCCCATTCCTAAAGTGTTTCTGCGTGAGCTGCTGTTCCAAGTTCACCTCCTGACTGGAAAGAGGCAAGCTGAGAGCAGTGTGTTGGCATGGGCTGGTATGCCTCTTTGGATGGGTGACCCAATGGGCTGGTACAGGAGAGACAGACTAAAGAATTGGTTTCTCTTCCTCTCTGCAGTCAGCATGGAAACCAAGGAGACTTGCAGATCCCACTCACTCATCTGCATGGAAATCTGATTTACTGGCTATGGCCATGAGGCAGGTTGTTAAGCAGAATTATTTTAATTCTTTATAGGAAACAGGCTCAGGAGGATTGAGTTGATGAGACCAGTAATGGGTCCAACGGTCAAGAAGGTGGTTTCTGCATATGCTGTAGGGGCAGATAGGTAAAGGTACCCCTGCCCGTATGGGCCAGTCTTGACAGACTCTAGGGTTGTGCACTCATCTCATTCTAGAGGCTGGGAGCCAGCGCTGTCCGCAGACACTTCCGGGTCACGTGGCCAGCGTGACGAAGCTGCTCCGGCGAACCGGCACCAGAGCAGCACACGGAAACGTCATTTACCTTCCCACTATAAAGCGGTACCTATTTATCTACTTGCACTTAAGGGTGCTTTCGAACTCCTAGGTGGGCAGGAGCTGGGACCGAACGACGGGAGCTCACCCTGCCGCGGGAATTCGAACCGCCGACCATGCGATCGGCTAGTCCTAGGCGCTGAGGTTTTACCCACAGCGCCACCCGTGTCCCTGGTAGGGGCAGATAGGGCTCATCAACTGGGAGCGTTGCCCATCTAGGACATGGGTAGGCAAACTAAGGCCCGGGGGATGGATCCGGCCCAATCGCCTTCTTAATCCGGCCAGCGGACAATCCGGGAATCAGCGTGTTTTACGTGAGTAGAATGTGTGCTTTTATTTAAAATGCATCTCTGGGTTATTTGTGGGACATAGGAATTCGTTCATTCCCCCCCCCCTTCAAAATATAGTCTGGTCCCCCACTAGGTCTGAGGGACAGTGGACCGGCCCCCTGCTGAAAAACTTTACTGACCCCTGATTTACGAGAAGGGAATCTCTAATCCTATACATCCGTTGTCCTGTTTTGAACATGTAGGTGTGAACCATGTTTAAAGCATTGCTAATCCACCTTGTTCAGGATTTCATTCAAATCAATAAGATCAAGCAAGAAAATATATGGCAAGCTAAGTGCCTTAGCAACGCTGGAATGCTTGTGATATCATCAATTGCTTCTGGCCACTAGGCTGCTTATTTTGCATACATGTAAAACTTTAATTGTCACAGACTGAAAACTCTGCATTTTAATTTCCTCCTGACTGCACTTTTTACACACACACACACACACACACACACACACACACCTCCATATTCCTGCTGAGGATAATATTTAGCACACTTGATTCTAGATCTCAAAAACTTATAAATAATAATAATAATTTTATTATTTATACCACGTGCATCTGGCTGTGTTTCCTCAGCCATACTGGGCGGCTCAAAACACACAAAAAATTGTAAAACATGAGACATTAAAAAATTTCCCAAAACAGGGTTGCCTTTAGATGTCGTAATAAATATTATGCAGTAATAAATGTGGCGAAACAAGACACTGTTGTTTTTTCTGCAACAGACTGACATGGCTGGTCCTCTGGAAACAGCTAAACAAGGAGGCCAGAATAAGTGATAACATCTTTTGAAAACAACAGCAGCAGCAGCAAAATCAATCCTCTGAAACTGTTACGTAGTTTGGCCCTCTACACACAACTCCTCTCAGCTGAGATCATGCTACCTGAAAGTGCTTGTTTTCCGATAAATGCAGCTTCCTAATAAGCAGGCATTCATCGTTTGGATTTGAGCTTATTCTACAGCATTAGGTAATACTGAAAGACGGGCTCTTTGACCTTTGCAACAACAGACCTCAGCGTGAAAAACAAGAGAGAAAGCACAGCGGGTTCAGCTAATGGAGAGAGCTATTGTGCACGAATAACAGGCACCGCATAGGACAAAAGACTGTAATGATGCACATCGTTTCCAATCTATCCAAAGCTTTGCATGTGCAAACTTGGCTGAAATGAGAGAGCTTCACAAGAGCGAACACCTGTTAGACTGTGCCCATATTGTACCACAATGTTATGCAAATAAGCCCAGAAAGAAATCTCCTAGCGCTCTTCTAAGCTGAACAAAAATACAACACAATGTGTGAATTCCTTGATTTCTTTAATTGAGTGAAAAGCAGGCATTGCATCGTTGCTGTGAATCAGCTTAAAAGAACAACCATGTCCCCGGAACCTCTTCTTTCTGGAAAAGAAATGATAAATCGGTTAAAATAGTTTAAATGAAACTCGTTCTATTTTGTTTGCCAGCAAGTAAACGTATCAGCTTTCCTCACTTGGGCCAGGTGATTTTTAAAAATGGAAATCCACAAATTGTTACAAAAACAATGGCTGCCACTCAATAAGTATCATCAAATGAAATGCACCATGAACTGGTGAATCGAGGACTCTGCCGCCATGTTTGGCAACCACTCCTTGCTAAGCCACTCATAGGCAAGAGTCGTGGCTTCTGAAGGCTGTGCTTTCTGAGAAGATGGCAGGGGCCAAAGCAGATGATTGGTTCCTGAGAGCTGTCTGGGTGAACACTGCTGCCTTCCATTGCCCGATATCCCTTCTAGGTAAAGGTAAAGGTACCCCTGACCATTAGGTCCAGTCGCGGACGACTCTGGGGTTGCATGCTCATCTCGCTCTATAGGCTGAGGGAGCGGGCATTTGTCCACAGACAGCTTCCGGGTCATGTGGCCAGCATGACTAAGCCGCTTCTGGCGAACCAGAGCAGCGCGCGGAAAGGCCGTTTACCTTCCCGCCAGAGCAGTACCTACTTATCTACTTGCACTTGACGTGCTTTCAAACTGCTAGGTGGGCAGGAGCTGGGACCGAACAACGGGAGCTCACCCCGTCACGGGGATTCGAACTGCTGACCTTCCGATCGGCAAGCCGTAGGCTCTGTGGTTTAGACCACAGCTCCACCTGCATCCCGATATCCCTTCTAGCTTTGCCTAATCCAGAACCGAAGAACCTCTGCTCCTCCAGTTTTTGCTAGACTACAACTCCTGTCCCTCACCATTGACCATTGGTGGGAGCTGGATTCCAAAAGCAGCTGTGGGGCCACGGCTTTCTCATCCTTGGCCTAGCCCAATACGCTTGTGGAATCTGCCCAGAGGCTCATATCCTGTGTTTCCATGCCAGTCGTGGAGGGAACCCTCTCCCCCAACAGCCAGCACAGAAACGTGTTCTACTTAGAAAGCTAATTGAAAAATTGTCTTCTACTGAGAGGGTTGGTGGAGAAGGGTGAGCTAAGGGGTGGGCTTCCTTTTCTCTGTCGCCAGCAAGGAAAACAATAGCCTGCTTCCTCATAGGCATGGATTTCCTTGTTGTCTAAGAATACCAGGCGAACTGTTAAAACTCAAGGCTGCCACAGATCCAGCTCAATCTTCCAACATTCTGGATGCATCTCATAGCTACTGATTTGGACCTGAACGGTGATCACCTCTGGTTTAAACCTCTGAGCTGCTATCCTATGGTACTGATGCATCTCTGCTGACCAGCTTCTCCCAGACATTTGTCTGGGCTCAATCACCACTGAGGTCTGATCCCAATGCTGCCTAGGACTGAATATCAATGGTTTCCAAGATAGGCCAACGCTGATTCAAGTAATCAGGTGATTTGGTTGCTCGCGCCACAAGTGCTTACATTATACACCTTTTGGTGCCAGGCAAAAAAGTTCCTTTGGGTAGCTGACACCATAGCTGTCAACGTTTTCCCTTTTTTAAGGGAAATTCGCTTATTCCGAATAGGATTCCTCACAAAAAAAGGAAAAAGTTGACAGCTATGACTGACACCCAATGTCCTTTTAAATGTGTTCTGGAAGGGGTGATTATTGGTTTGTTTTTGTTACATAATTTGTGTTTCTTATATTGTAATTTTATGTTGTGAACTGCCCCGAGATCTACGGACGAAGGGTGGTATATAAATTAAATTAATTAATTAACTTAAATTAAAATAACGTAAAATAACAATATTATAGACGAAAAAACATATAGGGGGGTGCGCAATTGTTTTATTTACTACAACTGTGCGCCACCTTTATGTTTTTTCATGTACAGTGGTACCTTGGCTCTCAAACTTAATCCATTCTGGGAGTTCGTTCAATTTTCGAAACCGTTCGAAAACCAAGGCACGGTTTCCGATTGGCTGCAGGAGCTTCCTGCCCTCAGTTGGAAGCCCTATCAGACATTTGGCTTCCGAAAAACGTTCGCAAACCGGAACACTTCCGGGTTTGCAGCATTCGGGAGACGATTTGTTCGACAACTAGGCCGTTCAGGAACCAAGGTACCACTGTGTTATTATTATTATTATTATTATTAATTAGATTTGTATACCACTCTTCGTCCGGCGATCTCAGGGTGGCTTACAACATAAAATTTATATATATACACACACATACACAAAATACATAATAAAAACAGTTAGGGATGAAATCTCAACTAGGAAGTGGTGGTGATATTCATTCTAAGTATTCCCCCATTTAATAAAAATATAATTATAGTACCTCTTGTTAAGAGAAGTATCCTGAGTGGCAAACACCGCTTTCTTGAGAAAACATTCTCCCACAACATGCACAGTTAAAAACAGACCTCACTCTATGCCATGATTCAGAACACAGCTCACGGGCGAGAGTTCCTCTGAAAAAAATGACCGGGTTTACGGGTTCAGACTTTTTCAGTTTAGTTGGGGGCAAATGAAACTCATTCAAATATTAAAAGAGCCTACCCTGTTGTTACTGTTTCAACGTAATTGTCTTTGGAGGGCCTCGAGGTGGGGCAGTTGCCAAAGCCCTGAAAACAACGCGAGACCCTCGGGTGGGGTCTGAGGCATAGCTGTCAACCGTCCCTTATTTGGCGGGAAACTCCCTTATCCCAGCTCCGTGTCCCACTGCTGTCCCTTATTGATGATGTCCCTTAAATTTCCCGGGTTTCAAAGGAAGCAGCTCCTCTCCCTCCCTCCCTGCCGGCCAGGGAGTAGGGAGGCTCCACCTGTGTTGCTTGGCTGCGTTGCTCACCTAATAAGGAGTCTAAGAACGACTGGGGGGTGGAGCTTGCATGCCTTGTGCTGATCAAATCGGCCGCATTGCCTGGGGACTCGCCTTTGCTCAGCGCTTCCCAGCGGAGAGGTGATGGTGGTTTTCCTTGCTGCATCCCCTTTGCCGGGTTGCTGCCTTGTGGGAACCACCGCTTGAGGCTTCGTTTGGCTGCTGGCTGGGCTTTCTGCCTTTGGTTCAGAGGGGTTCAGAAGTTGAACATACCTGTGCCCGGAAAATCCCTTATTTTGGCTGCTGATCCCTTATTTTCGAGGCTGTTGGTCCCTATTATTATTATTATTATTATTATTATTATTTTCAAATCTGTAAGTTGACAGCTATTGTCTGAGGAACGTGGACAAAGGCACTATATGCTCTTTGCCACCCCTTCAGTCTTAACTAGGCTTCCAAGTGCCCTCTGTTGAAAGAACAGATTACGCACATCTTTATCCCACCCCGTACCTGATTTGAAATTATTGCGTTGGTGTATATGAAATCGTTTTCAATGCTTTATTGCTAAATCGCTTCCACGTGTTTTACCAGGCAGCAATTCATAAATGGAACGAAATAAGTCAATCTCCTAGACGCATTGAGAATCTGGCTTTGTAGGCTGGCCACATTCTGTCCCCTCCACCCGCCAGCCCTTTGCTGATGAAAGGGACCAAAACTTCGAAAGCCAACCTGGTCCTTTAAAATTCTGGAAGTGTTCAAGTTCCTAAACAGGTGTGCAGCAATATCTGTGTGGTTCTTTACATCCTGGCTTACATAAAGAGCATAAAACTGTATGTGTGCTACTTCTGCAAAGTGGTTGTACCAGCTTTGTCTATAAACCAATGTGGCTTTCTTGTCCAAGTAACTGACCTTATGGAATATGTCAAACATAAAAGTCTGAAAACTCTTTTGATCTCGTTTTCTCAATGTCACGGCGGCATTCAAGAAAAAAGAGAGAGACGAAGGAACACAGGAATTAAAAAACCCAATTGTACATTCAAATTATCTGAGATTCTCCCTGACCTTTTCTTTATGGGGAAAGGAGACTTGGATAGGGCTCGCTTCCTGCTCTTTAACGAAAATCAGCAGTTGTAGAGACCCAAAGTCTAATTTTAGCACACATCAAAGCTACAGCTATCATTTGGGTATAGCGGAGCCCCATCTCTAACTTGTTTGATTACATCACAGTCCTTTCACAGATCTGGAAATCATTATTTCAAAATCTGTGGATATTTTGCGCCACAAATCAAAATCTTCATCTTACTTAGCCAATTTTCTTTTGAATAGGCTTGATGGAGAAGGCTGCATGACATCTTAACATGTTTTAGTGATATTCACTGAGGTCCAGTTCCGAGGGCCTTCTGGCAGTTCCCTCACTGCGAGAAGTGGAGTTACAGGGAAGCAAGCAGAGGGCCTTCTCGGTAGTGGCACCCACCCTGTGGAACGCTTTCCCATCAGATGTCAAGGAAATAAACAACTATCTGACTCTTAGAAGACATCTGAAGGCAGCCCTGTTTAGGGAAGTTTTTAAATGTTTGATGTTTGTTTTTCGAATGCCTTGTGAGTCGAATGTTTTGGCTCCTGAACGCCGCAAACCTGGAAGTGAGTGTTCCAGTTTGCGAACCTTTTTGGGAAGCCAAACATCTGACGGGGCTTCCAATTGAGTGCAGGAAGCTCCTGCAGCCAATTGGAAGCCGTGCCTTGGTTTTTGAACGTTTTTGGAAGTCAAACAGACTTCTGGAACAGATACCATTCGAGAACAAAGGTACAACTGTATTCTATTGGTAGCTGCCCAGAGTGGCTGGGGAGGCCCGGTCAGATGGGCAGGGTATAAGTAGTAAATTATTATTATTATTATTATTATTACTACTACTACTACTACTACTACCACTACTATTATGATGATGATGATGATGTTGTTGTTGCTGGGGCTGCCTTGGATGTGTATAAGCAGTAACACATTGGGTTGTATTCTGACCTAAGTCCGCTGAATTCAATGCATCTATTCTGAGTGTGATTAAGTCAGACACTAACCCAATGTCTAACTGCAGATCTCTGGGATTCAAGAGCAGTAGTGTGGCAACCAGAAAGGTAACCAGAGCCACACTGAAATTGTTTTGGAAAGATCTTGAGCTTTTCTCATCAATTCTCTTCTAAAAGATCAGTCCACTGAAGGTGCCGTTCTATATCAAACACTTACTTGGGAGTAGGCCGGCCCCACTGAGACAGTCATGAATGATTGCTGAGTAAATATGCATAGGAACAGTCTCCATGAAAGTGAATAGAAATATCTGAGGTTCAGATATACTACCAGTATTGAGGAAATCCTTAATACTATATTTTAATTCTGGGGTAGCTAACCCCCAGCTTGGAGGTTTAGTCTACAATTTTGAAATACAGTTCAGATGAGGAGGGGCAGGCTGTTTTCCTGTGTTTGTGTGTGTGTGTACGTGTGAGACTATGGGATGTCCACTGCCAACACGTGACCCTCCCACCCAAGGGTTGGTCAAGGTGCCCCATTCAAGCAGATGTACTAAACTTAACACATTGAAAAGTACAAGTTAAGCAGGAGAGATTACATATTGGGGGTTAAACAAACGACCGAAAATGACTCATCAGTCATATAACTTACTGTCTCCTCCATTACTTCTTTAGCAGGAGAGTGGTGGAGGGCTGCAGTGGGGAACTGCTAAGAGACAGAAAAATACAGTATTCATGAGCTTACTTGGGTGTAATCAAGCCATTTTGAGTGAATGTCATGAGAGAGCCAAAGAGTGGGCTATGGATTAATCTGTACACTTCCACCTGGCTTTTCTGCTGTACTAAAAACAAAAAAACCCAACTGGAATATTTGGGGAAGAGAAGAGGATCTATAGAAGAAGAAGAAAAGTGCAATCTTTGCTGGAAGTCAGATACTGTTATCACTTTTGAAATATACAACTCAATATTATATAAGCTGCCCTTTGAAAAGGATCTATCCTTAAGCTTCTTAAAGGGCATTTGAGAGATGCTGTAATTCCAGATGAGTAACCAGAGGTGGAGGTTAACAACCCCTCCTCCTTTCATTCAGATGCCAGGGCTGCTGCAAAATGAAACCGTCTCATGATCCGATGATGAATCATTCCTTTTGCAAGCCCCGTGAACCCAGACACAAGCGAGCAGCTTCCACATTCAGAAACCACAGTCACAGCAGTCCACAGAAAGACGCAACAGACTGAAAGAACTGGAGCAAGAACCCCATAAGCCCGGCATGGTCAAATTTGGCCCTCCAGCTGTTTTGGGACTACAATTCCCACCATCCCTGACCACTGGTCCTGTTAGCTAGGGATGATGGGAGTTGTAGTCCCAAAACAGCTGGAGGGCCAAGTTTGGCCATGCCTGCCGTAAGCAATCAAAGAACCCATTCCAATCCCTAACTGGCAATATATTCCATGATGCACTGAGTCTTCATACTAGGCCAAGGGAATACTTAGATTACAATCCCATGCAACCTTACCTGAGAGGAAATCCCACTGAACTTAGTCCAAGTAGACATGCACGGGATTGCACCATTAAACTGTTCCTAGCTATTTCCTTGCTGCTCTTGCCACGGGGGGGGGGGGGGGGAGCAAGACAGCAAATGTGTATCAGGCGATGAGAAGATCTGGAAGCAAGTCAAATCTCAACACTATTTGGAAATGTAAGGGACCCTGACTATTATGTCCAGTCGTGACCAACTCTGGGGTTGCGACGCTCATCTTGCTTTATAGGCCGAGGGAGCCGGCGTACAGCTTTCGGATCATGTGGCCAGCATGACTAAGCCACTTCTGGCAAACCACAGCAGCACACAGAAACACCGTTTACCTTCCCGCTGTAATGGTACCTATTTATCTACTTGTACTTTGACGTGCTTTCGAACTGCTAGGTGGGCAGGAGCAGGGACCAAGCAATGGGAGCTTACCCTGTTGCAGGGATTCGAACCACCAACCTTCTGATCGGCAAGTCCTAGGCTCTGTGGTTTAACCTACAGCGCCACCCGCGTCCCATTATTTGGAAACGAGAGATCCTCTAATCCTGGATATTGAAACTATGGGCTTGAAAGTCCTGTTTTTCAAACTTTCAATGTTGGAGGGAATCTTTCCCACCTTGACTGGTCTGCTTTAAGCCCTCCGCCCCCCATGCGTTGTATACAATTCTGGGGCAAGTTTTAGGAAGCTTTATAGCGGTAGTCTTCTTCCTTTTCAAACCCAAGAACCAAGTACCTATCTGGGGAGCCACTTCTTAATTTATCATCGTATACTTGCATGTTAATAGTGCTGCAGTTGTGACCCACCTCAGACCAAACTGTGACCCAACAGAGGCTTCCAACCCACCAAGTTGGAAGACCGTTGCTCTACAGTGCGTGGAAAGTATACGGCAGGTAACTGGCCCTCACTGTTGCACTGTGCAACTTGAAAGTGTGTCCTAAAACACAGATGTCAACAGAAGTGTAGTGGTCCTGGGTTGCAGGGGGTCCAAGATCCATTACTATTTCTGCAGCCTGGTCCCAGCATGGTTCCTGCCTCCAGCATCCTAAAAAGTACCAGGCACTCAGGATTGGCTCTTAGGGTTACTCTGGAGAAAGCACACAGTTTTTCTGTATGCTCCAGAGCTAACCATTTAGGAACAATGAAAACACAAGCACACACAGGTCCGGTTTACCAAACACAATGCATTCCGTGGAAACCTTTCATTAGGCAAGTGTTCATATAACGAGTCCACGATTTCCATTATTTCCTATGGAAATATTTCTAATGCGGGATTTGTTTGCTTTCCTTCTACCCCCTCCGTGTTTTCTTCCTGAAATGGCTGCAGCCAACCAGAAAGCGTAGAAAACTGATTTGTCCAAATGCTCCTGCTCTCTGATTGGTCCAGTGTCACTCCCCACTGTCTCTCCATGGCTTCTACCCAAAAATGGCTGTTGCCAACCAGCAAAGCACAAACGAACAAGGGAGTAAGGAAACTGGTTGTTTGGATAAGTGAATCTGCGGAGTGTATAGCAAGGTTTGGCCATAATTATTTTCGTGTGGGTAAGTGAATTTTTGGATAGTGAGCATGCAGATAGTAGGACCTGTGTGAAATGAGGTTTCAAGAGAATGGTGTGCAAATTTTTTGTAATGTACAACAGCACTTCAAGGAAAACACAACTGAAGTCATTCCAAAAGACAATATTGGAGTACCCCAAATCATTTACTCATGTACGCACACAGAATAGAGCTAACTGAAAGGCGACACACATGGAGATATACATTGATCACTGCAATGATTACCTAATTACAATGTATAATTAAATTTTTTTTTGTATAATCTTAGAAGGAGTGTGTGGCTGTGACTATCATGAAGGTACACCAGAATTTCCCATCACAAATCTGCAGGGCCAGAATGGTAGTCAAGGAAACTTGCCCGCCATTACTGAAACATGCCTTATAAGGTATCAAGGAACCACACTATCCAAGGTGAGGGAATATGCAGGTCTGTGTGGTGCAAACGAACCAGCGGAGCCGTTCTGGTGCTTCTGCCAGTGTGTTTGCAGAGCACAGATCTCCTCACTTGTCTCACAAGTATGTCCCACCTGCTATGAAACCAGCACAGTGGCTTCACCCGACCTGGGGAGCTGCTTCAGCTGAGATATAGCCTTTGGACAGCCACATGCTTTTGGTTATCACATTGAAGCTTTTTGTGAAATGTGCTAATAAAAAGGGGAAATCTTATCCAAATCACCTAATGGGCTGCCAACTCTCTTTAGCTCTTCAAATCTATCTGTAATAAATAGCCTGAGTCGTCTTCAAATTGGTTCCACTCAAGAGTAGACCCAAATGAAAATGGCAGTCCTAAGTTAGTCATGACCATATATTTAAAGGGGTCTTCTCCGACTAGCACTGGATAGCACCCACAGGGATTTATGTGAAGGGCAACCCAGTGAATTTAGAAAATTGGGAAATATGGGCAATCACAATGTGAGCAAATTATGAGGCTTTCCTTGCAGTGAAATGTATAACTATTATTATTATTATTATTATTATTATTATTATTATTATACGTTATACGTAGGGCTGCCTCTGAAGACAGTTCGGAAACTTCAGCAAGTGCAAAATTCAGCGGCCAGGTTGCTCACCGGAGCAAGATGGTTTGAGCATATTACACTAATCCTGGTCCGACTGCATTGGCTACCAATTAGTTTCCAGGCCCAATGCAAAGTGCTGGTTCTGACTTATAAAGCCTTAAACGGCTCAGGACTGCAAGACCTCAAGCACCGCCTCTTTCCATATGAACCAAGCCAGACCCTGAGATCATCTTCTGAGGCCCTCCTTCGTGTGCCTCCTCCATGTGAGGTCCGGAGGGTAGCAACACGAGAACGGGGCCTTTTTGCAGTGGCTCCCTGTCTGTGGAATGCTCTCCCCAGGGAAGTTTGCTTGGCGCCTTTATTATACATCTTAGGTGCCAGGCAAAACCGTTCCTTTATAACCAAGACTTTGGTTGACATGATTGACATGCTATACCAGGCTTCCTCAACCTCGGCCCTCCAGATGTTTTGAGACTACAAATCCCATCATCCCTGAACACTGGTCCTGCTACCTTGGGATCATGGGAGTTGTAGGCCAAAAACATCTGGAGGGCCGAGGTTGAGGAAGCCTGTGCTATACCCTTTTAAAATGTGGCTCTTTTGGGGGGGGGTTATTGCGTTATTGTTTTTATTTTATATATTGTGATCTTTGCTGTGAACCACAATGAGACCTCTGGGTATAGGGCAGCATATAAATTTATTATTATTATTATTATTCCATCACCCTCCATCCAAAAATCACAGGGCAGTTCACAAATAGTGGTCATATTCCTCAATAGTGCCATAGATATAGAAGGGTGATTAATAATGGAGATGCAATAAGGAGCTGGATAAAAATACTGAAGGTAGTACAGAAGATAGCCCTTGGATAATTAAGCAGGATTTTTAAAAAGCATGTTGTTGCTCCTGAAATAAGCGCACTTCCCTCTTAATGTCTCTACGCCAGATCTAAAATGTAGCTACAGTTCAGAGCCAAGCCCAACAATGTGCCGGTATTAATTGTGCATAACAACTGGACCATGTCCACTTAGGCAATTAATTGTTTTCAAACCTTTGCCCTCTCAAATTCAATTGCTTGTCCTGGCGCACAGGAAAACAAAATGTTCACTTCATCTTTACCTTTGGGAATGTTTGCGCCAGCTGCTCCTATTCTGAAGCTGCTCTGTGCCCGGAATGTTATTTATTTGCTTGTAACACTTTGTCCCCAGGAACTGAAAATGGTCAGTCAATTTGTTCCGGCGACCATGCCAGAGTCACACATTTTGATGGGCTACCTGAAGGATGCCACACTCAATATTCTCTACAGGCCCTTCCAACACTCAACAAAGAAACAAAAAGCTAGAGGCAATAATTTTCTACTTGGAGCTTCGAATTCCTCTACAGTGGTACCTCGGGTTAAGTACTTAATTCGTTCCGGAGATCCGTTCTTAACCTGAAACTGTTCTTAAGCTGAAGCACCACTTTAGCTAATGGGGCCTCCTGCTGCCGCCATGCCACCAGAGCACGATTTCTGTTCTCATCCTGAAGCAAAGTTCTTAACCTGAAGCACTATTTCTGGGTTAGCGGAGTCTGTAACCTGAAGTGTATGTAACCTGAAGCGTATGTAACCTGAGGTACCATTGTAGCTTTTGAAAAGTTTTGAAGAAACTTACCGTATTTTTCGCTCCATAAGACACACTTTTTCCCTCCTAAAATCTAAGGGGAAATGTCTGTGTGTCTTATGGAGCGAATGTGTGGTCCCTGGGGCTGGGGCGACCTGGGCTTCCCTTGCCAGCCCCGACAAGCTCTGAAGGGCCACTGCGCAGAGAGGGGGAGAATTTTTTTTCTTGTTCTCCCCCTCTAAAACAAGGTGCGTCCTATGGTCGGGTGCATCCTATAGAGTGAAAAATGCGGTATATACTGGCGGTAGTCACAGCCTACCCACAGCATTTTGTACCAGCTGGAGTCTTTCAGTCTTTCAATATCACAGTGGTCAAGTCTTGGGGTTATACTATACAGTCATACCTCGGACGTCGAATGGAATCCGTTCCGGAAGTCCGTTCGACTTCCAAAATGTTCAGAAACCAAGGTGCAGCTTCTGCCAGGCTGCAGGAAGCTCTTGCAGCCAATCGGAAGCCACATCGGATGTTCGGGTTCCAAAAAACGTTCGCAAATCAGAACACTCACTTCCGGGTTTGCAGCATTCGGGAACCGAAACGTTCGACTCACAGGGCGTTCGGGATCCAAGGTATGACTGTATGCTACAGTTTGACACGTTTCTCAAAGCAGCTTCCACAGCGAGCCGTTCCTAATTCATCTCTAGCCAAGGTGCAAACACCTTTGCCTAGGCCAGCAGTGGTGTCCAAACTTTTTTTTTTTTAAATGATATTTATTCCAAATTTAAAGTTACAAAAAAGAGAAAGAAAAACCATACAAAATACAAAGAAAATTTAACCATAGCAAAGTAAAAAGTAACAAGAAAAGAATGAACAATAAAAAATAGTAAAAACGAAGACAAAACAAAAAATATAAAAATGCGTTGAGTTAAAATAGAACAAAAACAAATTAAACCTTTACATAACCTTTTCCCTTTAACTTATTTCCATGACCTCCTCTCACCTCCCAATTTTGTATTCTAGTTCAGATCATATTTCCAGCAAATCCTTCTAACCTTATTTTCATTTACGTATTTTAAAATTTAAATAATGTAATTAAACCTCCTCTGTTTCATCAATTTCATCAACTCATTTTTACTTAGTCCTTTATAGTGTCCAAACTTTTTTCAAAGAGGGCCAGATTTGATGAAGCGAAGAGCCGTGAAGTTGTTAACCTTTTTTTAGGATTGAAGTTGTTGAGGGTTTTTTTTAGGATTTTACCCCAGGAAATAAACTGCCACAGGGGCCAGATTAAACCGACCGGCGGACCAGATTAGGCCTCCGAAACGGACTTAAAGACATCCCTGCCCCACCAATGCCCCCTTAGTGTGTGTACGAGCAGAAACAAATCTAACCCGAATGAAGCTGCGCTGATGTGAGCAGCCGGAATGAAAGAGCTGTGAAATTCCCCATGAATAAAACAACTACATTGCTCTCGAAGGCGGTAATGTGAGCGCATCCTAAATAAAAACAGAACTCAGTCTGCTGCCAGAAAGCTGCATATCTTTTAGTTATTACGTTTTTCTTCAGTGCAGAAGCCTGCATGTTCTTACATCGACGGAAAATGGTTTAACGGAAGGCCCCACAACTTAACTCTTGCTACTTTGCCATCTTCGCTGCTGCCCCACAAAAACCAACCAAGGCATTAATGTGAGCACCTAAAAGGTTTCACTACAAACCCAAACAATGTGTTGAATCAGTAATTTTCAGTGGGCTGTATGATTCACTTTCTAAAAGCTCTGGGGTGTTTGTGCTATGGTCATTCAAGCTGAAAACGTATTGCTTTTAAATGCCTCAATGCAGATTCACACAACATTAATAGCTATTCACAAAGAGACAATAATTTCCATATCATATCCCATTGCTGTTCCCAGCCAACCCCATTCCCCGGTACTAAATGGTCAATTGGAAACTCAGCTCTTCTAACTATAGACTTATATCCGCAAGTTACTCTGATAGTAATTTAATACCGCATGTTCAAAATGCTACTACCTTGTTTGCAATGGAAACAATAGCTTCAGAAAGTTAGAGGGATATAAGGACACTTTGCATTTTCTGTACATTATCTTGTAATCCCTACAACAGCCTTGGAAAGGGAGACCAGGATGACTAATCCTACATTGCAGACTATTCCTACATTGCACAGCAGAAACAAGGTTCAAAGCGGCATTGAGACGAAAATGAAACCTCACTTACACCACAAATCCGCTCTACTTCCCAGTGGGGAGGAGTTGCAGTGGACCACGTGGCCACCCACTCCCCTCCGGGGGCAGGGGATGAAGTCTCGCGTCCCCCGGAGGTTCCCAGTCATGTCATTCGCCTGCCAGCCAATCCGCTGGCTGGGGGGCGTGGCCGGGCCCCATTTAAACTGAGACGTGAGCCGGAGCGCTTCCTCTTGGCTCACTTCCTCGATCTCCTGCCCTCCCTCCCTATTTTCAGGTTTCGAATTTAGCCTCGCTATGGACCTCGGTTGGTCGTCGTTGAGGGGACTGGTAGGAATTTTTCCACTTGGCAAATTGGCATGGGCCATTGGGTTTTCGCCTACCTCATAGCAATCGTCACAACTTTGTAAGGTTTTGCGGTTAGGCATTGGTTGATCTTATGATGGGGGAGGCGAGGTGTGGCCATCACCTGCCCCTCCAAGCTTAAGGGTCTTCCGTTAAAGGAATCCGGGGGTGTGGATCTTGTCTGAAGTCCGGGGTTGGGCTAGGGCCATGACACTGTCGGAGTTGCGCTCGACTGAGTGACTCTTCCGGAATTGCCTCTGACGTGATTAACGACCTGAGCCTCTGATAAGGCTCCAGGCACATTCCCCATTACTCAGAGTATCCAGCACAGGGAAGGACGAGAAGTTTGAGCTACATGCTAAAGGGTTTTATTACTAAGCTATGCAGACAGAAAAGAAATACACCCTCTCTCTGTGAGAGCAGAGAGCAACCGAAAAACAAAGGAACAGGAAACCAGTAACATCACATCCGTCTCCTGTCTTCCGTGAGACTTCCAACAGTCTGGAATCCCAGGAATGTAAACAGAGTCCTGTGACTCCAAGAGCACTCCACAGTGGCAACACACAGAAACTAACATCCACGACCTCGTCAGGAACCCAGGGGGAGCTCAAGTTGGTTTGCATTGATGGGGCTCCCCCTATTGGTGGTTGACCCTTACAGGACTCCCTGCATGGCGGGCAGGAGTCAGATATAGTTGGGTCAATTCCAATGCCTAAGCCAAAACTGCTCACATTCTGTAACCAATAAAGTTGTGGCCTAAATTTGCCCAATAACATTAACCTAATATCTGTGTCTTTGTGTCTTATTCATCAACAAGGGGATGGTCTCGGGGTCTCGAAACGCAATACATGTGTTAAATCTTCAAGGTTACCACAAGACTCTTGGTTGCTTTAGCTGCACAGTTATCCCTCTGGAAATTGCCACTTAAAAAGAAAGAAAAGAAAAGAGACCCTTTTATAGTTTGCAGCCTATTGCATTTCTATATCCTCCAGCAAAAGGTGGGAAGGGGGAACCTGGAATCCTTCAGAATGCCTGAAGGTCTACACAGATATGGAGGAAATCAATAAGGGCAGGGCTATAGCTTGGTGGTGGAGCATCTGTCTTGAACTCAGAAGGTGCCAGGTTCAATGCCTGACATTTCCAGAAAGGGTGGATTTCATTTAAATCAAATCGATTTAAGTCACAATTTAAATCACTAGTCAGTAAGACTTGATTTAAATCATGTTTTTACGGAACGACTCATTCTTCCTGGTATAATCTTAATATTTACCAGATGAAGGTTTCATTTTTGGAATAATAAATTTTCAGAGTAGTTTTTACAGTTATATCAAAAATTACCAATTTGGTTATACTATTAGAAATACATAGATAATTATGAAATTATTGTGAGTTTCATTAAGTTAAGCGTTTATATTTGGACAACTTTTCTGCTGTGCTTTATTGGAAAGAGAAAAATAATCATTTCCTTAACAACAATTTAAACAATCTAGTTAACCAAAACAGTAACATTATAGCATACGTATCCATGTTTGTTCACTGATGTGGTTAAACAATTAGAAAAAAACTTTGAGTTCTAGCACATATGAAAAACTTCAAACAAATCCTTGTTTCCTTATTTATTATAATGTAACTTAAAAAGAAAACTATCTTTAGAAAGATTTTTCATCCAAAAGCATTTTATTTTAAAAATCCGATTTAAATAACAAAAAATCTGATTTAAATAACAAAAATCTGTTTTTTGATTTTTTAAAAAAATCATTGATTTTTATCCACCCTGGACTGCAGTCTGGAACCCTGGACAACCACTGCCAATCAGTTTAGGCAGCACTGAGATAAATAGACCAATGGTCTGATTTGTCTTAAGCCAGTTTCTTATGTTCCAGTGATGACACGTGATTACTGTGCTTTAGCCACCTGCCATGAAATCCTTTGAGCTAAAACCAACCCCGGCGCCTTCAGGTGGACTTCTGAGGCTGATGCATAATAGGTAAGGACATGTTAATTTTAAAGAGTCATGACGAAGGGGACCACTTGTAAGAACTCAGGGCAACGGCATCAAACCACAAGGAGACCGTGTGCCAGTAACAGGGCAGAGAAAGGGCAAAAGAAGGCTGACACCCACAAACTTGGTTTTCACGGAGCTAGGAAATGTGGAGGTTCGGAGTACGTTGTCAGCAGTATGCTGATGACACACAGCTCTGCTTCTCCTTTGCATCTGTAGGTGAAGCAGTGGAAGTGCTGGACCAGTGTCTTGCCTCGATAATGGGCTGGATGAGAGCCAGCAAACTGGAGTTCAATCCAGATAACACTGAGGTACTGTTAGTGGGTGGTTCCCTAGACCGGATGGGTGGGAGGTTGCCTGCTCTTGACTTCCCCTAAAGGAGCCGATTTGTAGCTTGGGGGTCCTCCTGGATCCTTTGCTGCTGCTCAAGGCTCAGGTGGCCTCAGTGGCCCGGAGTGCCTTCCATCAGCTTCAACTGGCAGCCCAGCTACGCCCCTATCTGAACAGGGATAGCCTTAACTACTGTTGACTATGCTCTGGTAACCTCAAGGTTAGATTAGTGTCATGCGACATACGCAGGGCTGCCTCTGAAGACGGTTAAGAAACTTCAGCTGCTGTCAACTCTCCTTAGCTCTTCAAATCTATCTGTAATAAATAGCCTGAGTTGTCTTCAGATAAGTTCCACTCAAGAGTAGACCCAATGAAAATGACAGTCCTAAGTTAGTCATGACCATATATTTGAAGGAGTCTTCTCTAAGTATGACTAGCACTGGATAGCACCCACAGGAATTTATGTGAAGGGCAACTCAGTGAATTTAGAAAATTGGGAAATATGGGCAATCACAAAGTCAGCTAATTATGAGGCTTTCCTTGCAGTGAAATGTATAACTATTATTATTATTATTATTATACGTTATATGTAGGGCTGCCTCTGAAGACAGTTCAGAAACTTCAGCAAGTGCAGAGTTCAGTGGCCAGGTTGCTCACCGGAGCAAGATGGTTTGAGCATATTACACTGATCCTGGTCTGACTGCACTGGCTACCAATTCGTTTCCGGGCCCAATTCAAAGTGCTGGTTCTGACCTATAAAGCCTTAAACGGCTCAGGACTGCAAGACCTCAAGGACCACCTCTTTCCATATGAACCTGCTTGGACCCTGAGATCATCTTCTGAGGCCCTCCTTCGTGTGGCCCCTCCTCGAGAGGTCTGGAGGGTGGCAACACGAGAACAGGGCCTTCTCTGCAGTGGCTCCCTGTCCATAGAATGTTCTCCCCAGTGAAGTTCACCTGGCTCCTTCATTATATACCTTTAGGCACCAGGCAAAAAAGTTCCTTTTTAACCAGGCCTTTGGTTGACCTGATTGACATCCTGTACTTTTAAAAAATGTGGCTTTTTTGGGGGGGGGGGGTGTTATTGGGTTATTGTTTTAATTTTAATTTTATATATTGTGATCTTTTCTGTGAACCGCCCTGAAACCTCCAGGTATAGGGCAGTATATAAATTCAACAAGTAAATCAATCAATCTGTGTCTGGGCTGGACTCTGTGTGACCGAATGCTCCTCTGTACCAAAGCGCCCTCGGCTAAGAAAAGTAGGTGTCAAGGGAGCAAGGCGGCGCTAGGAACCCAGAAGGCAAAACCGAGATACCTAGTGTGCCGATCACACATGGTCCCCGGACGTTTAACGGTCTATTGATCCCTGTGCCACCACTGTGCTCGCTTTCTCGCTGCCACCAACCCGTTACTCTCTGGTAAAACACTGAGTCCAGACAGTTGTTAAAAGTGAACCAAAAAAACCACCAAGTTTATTTTACAAACATTAACAAGTTTATGGTTTCTCAGATAGTATTCCTGTCAGTATCTTAACTTTAGTTTCTTTACCGGCCTATACCTTCCTAATACCTTCTGACTGATTATCTCAACTGTTTGACTGACTCCTCTTAACAAATTCTCTCACACCAGCCCAGCCCAACTCACAGACTTATCTTCTCTGTCTCTTCCAACTCCAGACTGTCTTCTCAACCACCCTAACTCTAACACCTCCAAAAAACCTCTCTGTGCTTAAACCTTATACACAGTTAACTCTGCCCCTTGGGTTCCCATTGGTTAGTCATTTTACAATTAGCTAACCCTTTCCTTATGAACCCGGTATGATGTCACACTTTTAGGAGGGCAAACGACACACCTAGGAACAGGAGGGATGGCAAGCAGTGCTCCGTGAAGAACAAAAAGCAAGGGCAGCTTATTTGCAAAGGTAGCGCAGCATCTCTGGGGAGAATGGGAGTCACTCGCCTTGTTGCACACCCTCGGCAGCTGCAGCAAAAATACAACCATGCGCTTCAAGAATGGAAGAGGCAAAGTCTCTGGGAGCATCTGGACATTGTGCGCCCTGTTGTTTTTTGAGGGGAAGAGATCCCGAAATAAAATTTTGAGCATGTTTGTAATTGTGGTTCTGGAGAGCAAAATTCTAGCCGCTTTCTGTTCATTATGACCCCCACTCCAAAACCCTCTGGTTGGTGGTTCCAGTGAGGCCACAGACTCCACTTTCAACTGCTTTTTCACGGAGGACCAAGTTGGATAGTACATCTCCCTCTCAAACTGTTCCAGTTTACCATTCCACCTTCCACAGTGTTTCTGGCCACTCCTCCCCTACCAACCCCAATCACATCCTGGTGCTAAGCAGACGCTTGCAGATATAATAAATAAGCAATAACTTATACAGTATCTGAATGTCTTCAAATAATGCCTTGTGCCAAAATACTATATTTTGTTGTAATCCTTGCAACAAGAACCCGGTAAAGTAGAGCGGTGCGATTACACAGGATCAAGACTGTTGTTGCACAACACGCCAAAACTTTAGAAGACATCTACCTATACTTTGGGAGAGTGGAGAAAATGTGGTTTAAGTGTATGGCGTGGTTCATCTAAGACAGGGATGCCGAAACCGAGGTCCTCCAGATGTTGATGGTCTCCAGCTCCCCAAAGGTGGGAGGATTCAAGTCTGGCAACATCTGGAGGGCCAGAGGTTCCCCACTCCTGGTCTAAGGGCGCCCAGAGTTCATGGCAGAGATGAGATTCAATCAGGCCTGTGTGTTTTTCTGAATCGAAGCTGAGCCTCCACAGTGCATCAAGTCTAGCCCCACTACTAAGCCCTTGGCCTTTCCCATTGCACACTGCCCAGTTTCTCCTCTCTGGGAGGTTTCCACCACGTGGCACCCCTTCCCTGTCATGCAGGATTGCTTTTATCAGAATCCTAATAAATGCCTGTTTTCATAGAATCATAGAACTGTTTGCCTGGTGCCTTCATTATACACCTTTAGGCGCCAGGCAAAAATGTTCCTTTTTAACCAGGTCTTTGGTTGATCTGTTTGACATCCTGTACCCTTTTAAAATGTGGCTCTTTTCTGGGGGAGTATGATTGGGTTGTTGTTTTTATTTTGATTACTGATTATATATGTTGTGATCTTTTCTGTGAACCGCCCTGAGACCTCCAGGGATACAGTGGTACCTCGGGTTACAGACGCTTCAGGTTACGCGGTTTCGGGTTGCGCACCGCGCCAAACCCGGAAGTACCTGAATGGGTTACAGTGGTTCCTCAGGTTACATATGCTTCAGGTTACATACGCTTCAGGTTACAGACTCCGCTAACCCAGAAATAGTACCTCGGGTTAAGAACTTTGCTTCAGGATGAGAACAGAAATCGCGCGGCAGCAGCGGAGGCCCCATTAGCTAAAGTGGTGCTTCAGGTTAAGAACAATTTCAGGTTAAGAACAGACCTCCGGAACGAATTAAGTACTTAACCCGAGGTACCACTGTACTTCCGGGTTTCGGCACTCGCTCACGCACAGAAGCGCTAAATCATGCTTTGTGCATGTGCAGAAGTCCAGAATCGCGACCCGCGCGTGCACAGACACAGTGCGAATGTGCCTCCCACACGGATCACATTCGCAAGCCGAGGTTCCACTGTATAAACTCAATAAATAAATAAATATAACTGGAAGGGACCGTGAGGGTCATCTAGTTCAACACTCTGCAATGCAAGAATCTTTCGCCCAAAGTGAGGCTCAAACCCACAACCCTGAGATTAAGAGTTTCGTGCCCTACCGACTGAACTATAATGATTATTTGCCAGGAGGATGACTCCCCAGGGGCAAAAGTAGGCTTTATTTCACACACGTCAAAAACCCAGTTTGGCACCCCATTAACATTTGCATACACCACGACCCACAGGCTGGGAGCCTCAATGGCACCCCTCTGGAGGCTTCATCGGGGCAATAACCCGACTAGCGCTCCCCCTAGCTACAGCCCTGCGCCTCCCTCATTCGTCTAACTACTTGAGAATGGAAGGGAATTGTGTGCGTGTGTGTGTGTGTGTGTCCCAACCACTGCTACCTCCCCACCTCTCCCCTCCTCGGCAAAGCTTCTTCTACAGCTGCCAGACAGGCGGACTTTCAACAGGTGAAGCTGTCCCCCATTTCCGAGGTGCAGCAATCGGAGTGAGGAAGGGCTTCACCGGCTGGACGTCCGGTTCCTCCTAGCAGCGCAGCAACAAAACTGCCAGCACATTTGCAAAGCTTAGGCATGATTTCAAACTGGATGCCTTGAGATCCCTGTATTGCAGGCATGTCCAACAGGTAGATCGTGATCTACCGATAGATCACTGGACGTCTGCGGTAGATCACTGGCTCCTCCCAAAGAAGCTGAACAACTGTGGCTCCCCTAAAGAAAGCTCAACAGGTCAAGAGAGCCAGTGTGGTGTAGTGGTTAAGAGCGGTAGACTCGTAATCTGGGGAACCGGGTTCGCTTCCCCGCTCCTCCACATGCAGCTGCTGGGTGACCTTGGGGTAGCCACACTTCTCTGAAGTCTCTCAGTCCCACTCACCTCACAGAGTGTTTGTTGTGGGGGAGGAAGGGAAAGGAGAATGTTAGCCGCTTTGAGACTCCCTAGGGTAGTCATAAAGCGGGATATCAAATCCAAACTCTTCTTCTTCAACATTTTACCTCCTCCCTGAAAAAAACTCAACAACTTTGACCCGAGCCCCCCAAAAGGGGGTAGATCATTGCCAGTTTTTAGCTCTGTGAGTAGATAGCAGTCTCTTGGGAGTTGGCCACCCCTGCTGTATTGCAAATCGGTTGGACTGGATTGAGCCTCAGGCTCCCCTCCCAATTCTCCCATTCCATGCTTTCCAGGCTGCTGCCCTGAAGGCCCACCTTACCGGCAAAGTTCTTGGTGAAAACCAGCGTGACGAGGACGATGGGGATGAGGACGGTGCCGATGGTGACGACGCGGTCGAAGGGCAGCTCGAGTTTGAGCTGCAGCAGCAGCGCCGCCAGCGAGCCCGCCTTGTCGTCCTGCGCTCCGGGCAGGATCAGCTCCTTGAGTTTCTCGCCCGCCAGCAGCGCCGTGGCCATGTCCGGGTGGTTCTCGATGATGTGTTGCATAAGCGGCGCTCCTCACCCGGGCGCTCCTGCCTGCGGCAGGGGAAGCGTCGCCGTCGCCGCCTGGCCGGAGGAGATCCACGAAATCCAGGAGAAGATCCAGCGGATCCCGAGCCGAGGAAGGTGGTCCCGGCCTAGGGGGAGGAGGAGCGACACCGGAGAGCGATGAGGAAAAGAGAGGGCGCACGTGGAGACCGAGGAAGGCGACGAGGCACCATCTCCCTTTTTGCGCAACAGCCGCGTCCCTAGCGAGACTGCGGCAACGGCGATCGGGGGTTGCCCTTGGCGCCCGCAGCCGCGGATCTCCGTGCCCGCCATCCCCCTCTCCCCAGGCCTCCCTTCCCCAGGCGGCGGCGGAGATTAAGCGCCATGCAATACCGCCGAGGACCGGGTGCCGGCGGGCAGCCCTGGAAAGGCGCGACCCGGATTGCGCCAAGTTGGGTGGTTGCAGCCAGCGCGCAAAAACCAGCGGGCAGGGAAAGCGCCGCGGGCGTAAAACCCCCCCTGCGTGGATAAGAATAATAAAAACCACCACGATAATCATGTTATCGCGGCTCTACTGCGCAATAAAAGCCCATCAGAAGCTGGTTATATATAATTCCTATATAGAACATATTATATACACACACAAAGACACACACAGATGTATGTACCACGAAGCTTGTTGCAGAACTAGAATTGTCCTTTTCCGGTTACCTTGATGGAAGTCTTTTTTTTAAATCCCCGCGCTTCTCCTGCTCCAAAGCCGAGAGAGGAGCGCAAGGGTGACTCGGCAAAATCAGAGATGGTAAAGGGAAAAAATAAATAAAATCCGGCTGCGGCAGGCTGGCAGGACTCCGGCCTTCACACAGTACTTCCTCTTGGTCCCCAAGTCTAGTGCAGGATCTCCCCCACCCCCTCTCCAAAGAAGAGAGGGGCGATTTGCAAAGGGCAGTTGCACGAAAGGAAGCGTCCTCCGCGGTAGCCGCCGCAACGAGCTGTTGGAGAAGGCGCTTTGCAGCGGCGAAGGAAGCCCCCCAGCGGAATGCAATGGGTTGAACGCCGCCCAGAGGTCGTTTAAGGTCTCCGCTTAAACATCTGGAATTGGGGGAGCTGCCAGCAGCGGCAGGAGCGGGGGCTTTGCTCCAGGAGAGAAGGGTGGCCGCGAGGAGGCATAGGCTGCAGGCATTATCGGCTCAGAAGCTGCCGAGTCACCCAGTGCAACACGTTGCGCCTCGAAGTGGCGACAGGCAGCTTCTCCTGCCGCTGCCTGGGAATGGCTCGGCGGCATCTCCGGCTGCTTTTGAGACTGGCAGCCTGGTTAGAAGCGACGGAGGAGAAAAGGGTGGCCAGGAAAGCCGCCTCTGGGCCTCATTGCGGAGGCAACCAAAGGAACCTGGCGGCGAGCGCTGAAGCGCCGCAAATGCAAATGCAGAAGGGGATTTATTTCGCTTGCTAGTCGCCCCATCCTCTTCCCTCTCCCTCTCTCGACACCTAGCTCTTGTTCTGCAATGGCATTAGTGCAGCCAAGTCCTCTGCATGTTTACCCACAAAAAAATCCTGCGGAGTTCAGTAGGTGTTTGCACTCCCGTGACACGCGAGAGCGCATAGGGACTGCAGCCCTAGGTGGTTGTTGTTATAATTTATTGTTGTTGTTTAGTCGTTTAGTCTTGTCCGACTCTTCGTGACCCCATGGACCAGAGCACGCCAGGCCCTCCTGTCTTCCACTGCCTCCCGCAGTTTGGTCAAACTCATGCTGGTAGCTTCGAGAACACTACCCAACCATCTCGTCCTCTGTCGTCCCTTCTCCTTGTGCCCTCCATCTTTCCCAACATCAGGGTCTTTTCCAGGGAGTCTTCTCTTCTCATCAGGTGGCCAAAGTATTGGAGCCTCAGCTTCACGATCTGTCCTTCCAGTGAGCACTCAGGGCTGATTTCCTTCAGAATGGATAGGTTTGATCTTCTTGCAGTCCATGGGACTCTCAAGAGTCTCCTCCAGCACCATAATTCAAAAGCATCAATTCTTCAGCGATCAGCCTTATTTGTGGTCCAGCTCTCACTTCCATACATCACTACTGGGAAAACCATGGCTTTAACTATACGGACCTTTGTTGGCAAGGTGATGTCTCTGCTTTTTAAGATGTTGTCTAGGTTTGTCATCGCCTTTCTCCCAAGAAGCAGTCTACCACACTCTGAACTAAATAAACTGAATATATTTATGCAAGCAATTAGATTTGCATAATGAATTCTTGTTTCAGAATTTGTTGTTTTTTAAGTACAGTATACAGCCTTTAATATTCTGTGTTGGATTACTGCTCCTATCTTTATTGTATTCATATTCCACGAGGAAGTTTAGGCAAAGAGAGTGACTAGTCTCATGGCTGAGCAGGATTTGAACAGTTATCCAGGGCCAAGCCCAACACAATGGTTTGGGTGAGCCTCACATGGTAAGTCAAATGACAGCTAAGTGTGAACAACTAAGTGTACTCTCAGAGCTACAATTCCAGGAGTGGTTTAACAATCCACCCCTCTTCCTTGGGAACTCTGGAATTGTATCTCAGTGAGGGGGAATAAGGACTTCCTAACTCTACAACTGTGGGCAAAATTGAAAAAAGCTATACAACTTTGGCCATAAAAAAGCAAAAAGCAAAAAGCAAAGCTCAACCACTTTGCCAAAAAAAGCTCAACAATCATAGCATAGTGCAGGTGGGACCTTGAAAAAATGGCAGCTGCTTCATTCCTCCCTCTAGTTGTCTTGCTGCTATGCTACCCGAACCAAGGCAACAGTTGGCTTAGCATTTCTTCCAAACCTGGGCTGGATCTAGACTCATCAAAGAAGTGTTTCAGCTAAACGCGTTGTAAACTTTGTATGAGAAATTGGGTTGGCAAAAATGGAACCCCACAGCGCCATCTGGTGTCACAGTATTATAATGCATATACAGTACAACGCATATAAAGCACTTTTTCTTTCTTATATAAAGCCAATATAGCTGAGTCCCTGATCTCATGCTTTGTCTCACTCCAAAGAAACCATAAGATTGTTGGTGGCCATGGTCTGTCTCATTTGGTAGTAGCAATAGTGATATGGACAGCTTTTGCTACTTCACCCTGGACTCCATCTGCCTGTGTGGAATATTATGTAAGCAAATATAAAAGTACACAGTACACTGTATACTTGTAAGCAAATGCAAAAGGCATAGCAACTTATGGTGAGAACTGAGCACTATGCAAAACTCAAGACAATAGAGCTTCTTGTTATATTATAAAGGATGGGAATTCTTTAGTTTTCCAGATATTGCTGTACTACAACGCTCATCATCCCTGTTTGTCACGCTGGTTGGCGATAGGCCGCCATCTCTGTTCTAGAGCAACAGAACATTTCTGATTCTTCTGAAGCTAATGACTGAATTAAATCTGATTGCAAATACACAGCCTAGACTGAGTCATTAATACTTGCAATGACTCATCCTCCTGAATAATTTATGTATGTCACCCAGACTTATTGCTTTAGTGTTATTTGATTTCCCCCATCACCATCTAGGCCTCATTATCTGTCCAGACTGAACTTTAGAGTATTGCTGCTAAAGATCTGTACATTACCAGTGAGCTGTATAGTACAGATGGCAGAAGGAAGTGTTAATTTGCTAGTTGGATTAAGTAGATACAGTTCAAGTAAAACACAGAAGTGCATCTTGAATTTCACCTTTCTATAAAAGCAAGGAAGTGCTTTCTCTTAAAAACATCCTTTTTGCAGAGGGTTCAGAGCACAGTTCAGTATATTTTACCTTTTTCCAGTATAGTTCCAGTTGTACCTGCCATTTGTTTCCCCAGGGTGCTGGTGAAAATCCAGTTTGACTGGCGTTTCACTACACGGCATGCTCAAATGCTATAAAAACAACTCTTTTTAAGGGGGTGGGGAATGTTTGTTGTGAAAAACAGTATCACAGAATCATAGAGTTGGAAGGGAACCTGACGGTCATCTAGTGAACGACCTGCGATGCAAGAATACACAGCTGTCCCATGTAATGATCAAACCTGTAACCTTGGTGATATCAGCATCATGTTCTAACCGAGATTGGCTCTGATATTCCCATCTTGCCATTTTTTGAGGGGAGGATGGGGCAGGCTCTTCCGGATTTTGACCCACACGTTTAGCCTCAGTGGGGCTCCATATACATCACCAAACAAATGTGGAAATCATTTTACATCTTGCTGGCACCGCTTCTTCAATAAAACCCCAAAGTGCCTACAGCAAACTCACAAAGCCTGATACAAACGAATGCTGTAAAGATTCAGCTTCAACTACAGTGGTGCCCCGCAAGACGAATGCCTCGCAAGACAGAAAACCCGCTAGACGAAAGGGTTTTCCGTTTTTGAGTTGCTTCACAGGACGAATTTCCCTATGGGCTTGCGAAAATGTCTTGCGAGTCTTGAGATTTTTTTTCTGCTTCCCCCCCCTTTTTCTAAGCCGCTAAGCCGCTAATAGCCTTTTAGCAGCTAAGCTGATAAGCCTTTAATAGCCGCTAATAGCGCTAATCCGCTAATAGGGTTGCTTCGCAAGACGAAAAAACCGCTAGACGAAGACACTCGCGGAACGGATTAATTTCGTCTTGCGAGGCACCACTGTAATTTATAACAGTTTAGGTCAGGGGTCTGCAACCTTTAAGACAAAAAGAGCCACTTGGACCCATTTCCGAAGAAAAAAAACTGGGAGCCGCAAAACTTGTCATTATAAAAATAACCTTTTTGTCACTTTTTTATTATTTCTTTGTTTGACCCCTCAGAATTACTCCTCCTCATAGAAATAAACGTTAAATTAACAAGTTACCTTTTTGTGTGTGTGTGTTCTTCACTCCCTTCAAAACAGTGACCAGCGTACATGCCCCCTTTCAATGCAGTGACCAGCGTACATGCCCCTTACAATGTAGCGGGCGGACGGGCGGGCGGGAAGGTGACGTCGGGACGGTGCGTGACTAACGCACGCACTGCCCCCAT